CATTCATTGAAAGATCGGAATGTCATTTTGGAGCATAACATTGAAAGTAGAAAACAGACTTTTGAAGAGGAACTGAGAGAGACGAAATCGCTGTACAATCTTGAAAAGAATGCGACTCGTGCAAAGGTTTTTTTCTTTTGATTCATGGTAATCTAGTCTCGTTTACCCGAGTAAGAGCTTGTAATTCCCAATTTCCTTTCAGGTTGCAGATTACGAAGAGGCACTGGCATCAGCGCATGCCCGAGCACATGAGCTATATGCGAAGCTTTCTCTAGTTGAACGCTGGAATAAGGTAAACTAGTCTTGCCGAAGGCAGTTCTAGTACCTATACTGAGAATTGTCTTCGACGCTTTTATGGAAAGTGAGCTTCTAATTTCCTCTAGTTTTTCATTTTTATAGGAAAACTGTGGACGTCAAATGGAGCCGTTGGTTTCACGAGTTCAACATTTGCAGATTAACTTTCATGATTTAAAAAACGATTTTTTAGCAATGGTAGAAGTAGTGCAACGCTTGATTGCGGAGAATAAGAAGCAGAAGGAAGCTTCAGATGAGGTGCTTTGTGGTTGTAATTTATGGTGGAAAAATTTTCTTCACTCAATTTTATTTTTTATATGTTTAGCTAAGAATTGGTCACGAAAACCTGAAGGAATTGTACGAAAAAGTATTATGTAGTGAAAAGAGATGGAAGAGTTCTGCAGAGTCATCGTTTGCAAGTGGAAAACAACTGCGAGATCACTGCACTAAACTGGAAGAGACACTGAATGATGTATTCCAAATTTTCGACGCAACAGCTAATAAAGCATCGGAATATGAAGGTTGATTCCATGAAAACTTTTAGCGCTAAACAGTTTGAAATCTGTTTCATATCCTTCATTCCTCCTTGAAAGAACAATATGTAGTTTTTGGGGTTCTGTAAGTTTTTGCAAAGGGGTTTTGAATGAAGTTGATCATTTTTTCAACTGTGCCATTCGATTTCAGGAAGAATACAAGATTTGGAAATGGAAGTTGCTTCTCTGAAAGCAGAAAATGCGGTGCTTCAGAAAAAGGGCTTTGATTCAAGGTTAAGCAATGTGAGCAGTGCTTGCACTCCAAGGTCGAATTTACCGAGTGGTCGCGAAAGTGATTTTGTACCAGCCGTTGAGAAAATTAAGGAAATTGACAATGCTCAGATGCCCGAAAATGGTGAGGTTTTTATTCGCCTGAATGTTTTTTTTTTTTTTTTTTTTCACATTAAAGTCCATTTAGCAGCCTACAACGCCACCGCCAGTGGCCCGCATCCTTTGCCTCGTTCTGAAGACGAAGGAGATTGGATGGAAAGCAAATCCATAAATGGAGTGGAGTTTAGAGTTGTAACCCCTGCAAAAAGCTTTTCGAAAACGTATTTCCTCGACGTGGACTCAGCAACCACTTGCCACAGGTTCATGAATTGGTCTTAAGTCGATTTTGCCTTAACTCTTGACCGATTTAATCCTCATCCACTTTAGTGACGATTCAATCTCTTCTACTCCAAGTGGGAGGTATTTGGAGCTACATGAACGTAATATGAGATCTAAACCTCATATGAGGACTTACGCGTACCCCGAGGTTGTGGAGGCCGCTATAGAGGAGGATACTTTTAGGAACTCTTCGAGTTTCAAACCTCCAAGCCAAAAAAAGAAAAAGGTTCCATTTTTAATTTCATACAATCGGGTTTTGTCCCTTATGTTCCAGTTTTTAGGCGAAGTGATCCTCTTTATCTAGATAAATCTTTTTAGAAAACTGGGAGTTTAAACAAACTTGGCAAGAATCTGTTCTCCCATGCGGTCAGGAAGCAACCGTTGAGAGAACTAAACAGTTAATATTTTGTGGTGTCTGGATTCGAAACCCCAGTTAAATTAATGGTCTATATAAAATTCAGCTGCTCAACTTCCTCAACGGCAGTTCTCCGTTTCCGCGTTAACTTTTTTGTGTCTTTAGAATTATTAAATCTGTTATAAATATGCATCCGTTTGGTTAGAATTTTTATTGGTTATGTATAATTAATAGTTCTTATCCCTATTTCTCTCGCTTGTAAAGTTTTTTGGCGTATTGTCATTTTTGATGTGAATTTTGGGCAGATGTTTATTTACGTCACTGTACATAATGCATTTTTAGAGTGTCGTAATTGGTAAATTATTTCTAGCTCATTTTAGCTGTGGTGTAACTGATTTGTGCATTAGTAATGTAGATTTATATGTACTGGTGTCAGGTGTTGAGAAATTCTACTGGTGCAGTTTTTGGAGCTTTTATTGTATTTGGAGGGGGAGTGACCTGTGGGGGAATAGATGCGGTTACTGTTAACTTTGGAGCGCTAGTTTAATCATATCTTCTAGGTCTCGGACTGTACTTATAAAAGAGGGAAACAATGCAGGGTGGGAGACTAGTATTTAACCGGATGAGACGAAGTACGGCGACAAGGTGATCCGAAGCAATACCACTTGCTGCGAGAATGGTGGCTGCTTAGAGCTTTTCCAAACGTTGTAATGGATTGAAGACTTGAGCAACTTGTTTTCAATTTATTTTTTATTGAGTCGTTGAGGTTCTTTTGCATCTGGTGTGTAATTCATTGTGGTTGTATCTTTTACATGTCTCGTGTAGCCGGTGAATCGGATCCGGTCCGTTTTCCATGTGGAGGTGTCGTAACAAATTGGATTCATCAGTACGAGTTTGTATTTTTGTGTCTCGGTTTCTTGTTGCTGCATCAATTTGAGCCATTGTATGACTGAGTTTTGTGTCTAACGCGGAGACGAAGACAGTATTTTGGTAAAACTGCGAACTCGACTTAGGGTTTGTCGAGATCTTTCTTTCGCCGTTTACTTCTGCCATAGAGGAAGAAGGGCGCTGTTGGGTTAAGTGCAGTCCAGAAGTCAGTTTTTGTTGCCAGGCGTTATGCTTAAAAGTCTTGGAGTCGTCGTGTAATTAAAATTGGGATGCGCAGGTGCGGGAACTGGACAAGCCGATAAATTTTATTAGGGGGCTGTACTGTTGAGGAATGTTGCTTGCTGCTCAGTTACAACGTCTGCTGGCAGAGACCGGTCTTTAGGTTGGTGAGAGGGTTTGCAGCGAAGGAGTTGGCGGATGGTGGTTCTCGAGCATTTTCTTACTGACGGTGGTCACTAGTTGTGGCATGACAAGATAAGCTTGAGGGGTCGACAATTTGCTGGTTTGGTATAAATAGGTTTTGATGATCCGCTCGTTTTCATTGGCGATTGGTACTTTGGGGCGGGCATTGGGTTTTACGTTTTTCACTTTAAGTGGTTAAGATGCTGCGTGGAATGTATACAGCGGTGTGTATCTGCTTGAAAGGCACGTCTAAATGAGAAGTTGTGACATGGCAGATTTCACTGGCGAGACTTTGTATTCAGTTTTTGTTGACGAGTAGATTCCTCTGTTCTTTCGAGTTTAGAGTAGGTCATTGTGACTAAGTAGCGTGCTGCAGTGCTCTAGGTCAGGGATTGATGTTGGTGTTGCTCCTGAGTTGAGAGTGTATTTTTGTTACGACAAACGGTTATGTTGTTGTGTGGTGCAAATTTCAAACGAGTTAGTTTTGGCTGAACTCGCTCCATTTGACTGTCCGGCCGCTTGCCGCCACACTGCTAAAGCGAGAGCGTTAGTCATTAGGAATGGTTTTTGGTAGTCACAGCAAGCGGGATTCGAGTGTTTATCTCACTCCTGTTTTTAGTTTCAAAGAACTGTTGGTGCAACTCAGCAGGATTGTGGAACAGGTCTGTGTGAATAGAAGGTATAAATGATCAGACTAAGATATCGCTCAGGGACCCGTCCTGAGAACCGAATAAGTCGTTTTCGTAACCCTGGCAGTTTCGGGACTTACGGGGTTTTAACCGTGATGTTTGAAAAGTTAGGAAAGCAGTCCATATTTCGAATAGGTGCAGAATGACCCATAGTTGCAGCTATTAGCTCAGTGGGATTTTTTTTATTACTGAACGGGTTGTCAACATATGTATAAGTAACTTCCTGGTTCTCATCGTCAGTAAGCAACTAAACTGCAGTTTGGCGGGAAAAGTGGGGCATGAGTTTGAACCTGATTTTGCAGTTGCCTTTTGTATGTCACGGAGCTCTAGCGCAATACTTCTTTGCTTATTTGTGTCACACTCAGATAATCGTTATATTAACAGTAAAAATGAAGTCAGTAGCTGTGTGCTGAATCATACATAATATAATGTCTGCCAAATCAAGGATTAGTGTTAAACATATGGTAAAATGCGCATTAAAAGAGATCTCACCGACAAGAATGCTAGGTCGAAAGCTCAGGAAGTTTAGTCTCTGAGGTTTCGAAAGTAAATTGAAAAGAAAACAGTAAACAGTTGAAGAAATAAAGCAAGGATTCTGAGCAAGCTTTCACGCGAAGTCACCGACAACAAGAAATACACTGCGGCACAGACCAACGGTTCGGGACAGATCTGGCAGCGGGGTGAAGCTCTTATATAACCATACTAGAAAACCATTTGCAACAGCGACACTATGTTGGAAGATCGTCAATAACATTGGTTGAGGCAGAAGATGGACAAACAACTGAAAGAAATCTGTCAATCCTGTAACTAAGCAACTAGGTGTGTACCTTTCAGGCGGAGAAAAAGCAAGTTTTTGCCGTACAGAGAGACTTATTCGTTGTTTTGCAACTCGAGTTTGGACTTTCCAGACCGAGTTAGGAAAGTCAACTACTCCTCTCAGCTCAATTATATAAGAATGACATTAGTAAAGCATTAGTAAGCCTTTCTAAAAGCAGAATTTCAAAGAGGAAGAATATTTCAAGTTAGATTAGTAAAGTATCAGTTTTAAAACAGAAAATCTAACTTCAGAAAAATGAAGCAAACCTGTCAATATATAATCGGTCAGCATATTCGGGACAGCAGGGTTGTTGTCGTCAATGGCCTTCAAGACTGAAATTAGGACAAAAGGTAGTAACCGATGTAACATGTAACATTGGATAGGAGACAAATGAAAAAAAGGACGACTGGCAAACGAATTACTTTTAATTAACGCCTGAAGTGTACAACAATCCATATGCGAATTACTCTCGCAGTAAGGTATAGAGGCAGTTACGTACTGAAAAAATTTCTGTAATCTAACTGTGCATTGTTCAACAAACAAGCGTCGAAAATGAAAATGCAAATTTGAAGGTCTAAAATCGAGTTTAACTTTTGCAAATGCCTTATTATTTCACAAAATTTAAGACCAAAAATGCTTTAAATGTTTGTTTAGTCAAAGAAATTCATTGCCTGTGGTAGTTGTGAAGTCTCAATTTTTAAAGTCTTTTTTTTTCGGTCGTTTGCAAACTGTCTTCTCCGGTTCTGTATAGATAGTAGTAAAGATATAAAAGTGTTTTTCATCTCTTTCTCATACTCGAGTTCGTCTCGGTGAGCTAACTGTTCTACCAAACTTTCGTTGTACACCTGAACCACCAACGGTATATTAAAGAACTAGAAGGAAATTGTTGATAAAAGAATAAATAAAAGACAAATATAGTTTTTACAAACCTGTATCAGTTGCTCCATTTCGGCACAAAGGGCAACAAGTTTACTGTATGATAATGACTGTAAATCTAAAATAACAATATATCTGCATTAATAACTTTACTTTGCAACAACAAGCTACAAGGTACTTTTGAGAACTAAGAAGCGTTCCCACAACATGCAATATTATACAGTATGACTACACACAAATATATATATATATAACTACTTTTATCAGTTACGGGAAACTAATACGACCGCACAACATACACAACTTGTATATCTATACTTACCTTTTAGTTCTGATGCGTATTCACTTCCTATTGGAGAAAAAAACTGTTGATTACTTTTCGGTATTGAAAAAAATTAAATTTTTGTTTTAAGGATAATTATCTGGTTGTTAGCCACTAAGCGACAAAATCAACAACAATACACTAACTAACAAAAGAAATAGAAAAAATGAAAGCCTTTAACTTTGTTCTGAGCACTTTAATAACTAATGGGTCATTTTAAGAACTGCTGGGCCTAAATCCCTATAGAAACATCCATTAAAACTCATAGAGTGAAATATCCGTTTCTACAAATAAAAGGACCCGACAGTTATATCAAATATAACTCGAAACCTAAAAATCTTCTCCCCTTCCCACAAATTTTATTCTTTTAAGCACGAATATAAGCCAGTTAGATAAACTTTAAAGCAGTGATCAATTTCTTTCTTACGCTTTAATGATTACCTAAAACTCTTTATGAAAAAAATAAAGAAGTGCAGAAAGCTTTGTGGTCTAAAAAAACTGAGGATTATTCAAATAAAAATTGGGTTAGAATGACTTACACCTGTGACTGAAATCTCTTATCAGGATGAATTTTAGTAATTAACAAGACCCTTTCAAAACAGAATTTAAAAACACTTCAACAAGAATTACTTTGAGGATCTGATGTAAGCGCGGTTGTCTGTCTTAATTTCATGTCCATTTCAGAAAGGCCTGACGGCAAAGGAGATCTCAGCGATGAATACATACTATCTACTGATTCCATCGTACGGTCAGTCATCATCGAACCGGAAAACTCACATGACTGAAAGCATGGAGACATAGCAAATTTATCATCCTATACTACAACATAGAACAGATAAAATCCGTACAGCCATAGAACTAGTTAATCTACTTTAGGAAAAATAAAATTAAAAACTGTAGAGCAAATTTTTTTGATTAAAATATTAAAATACGATTTTGACCAGTTATATAAAAAGAAACCCGTTGAAATACAAGTATAAAGCAGCTCTGGATTAAACAGAATATACTGGAAAAGTACTTGCAACATCTGATCGATCTCTTCAATAACCTGATCAGCAGTCTGCGGTGGAGAGTCTGAGAGCGGCAGCTGTTGTGATATTAACTGGTGCATGTCCAGAGATGCTCTTAGTTCTTCTTCCTCAGAAACATCTACTCCCGACTCACTTTCATCCTAATAAAAACATCTCCTTAACTCTGATCACGAAGCATAGAAGATTTGGCAGAAACGTGAAAGTTCAACAAAAATTCCACACCTTGCGAGGCTGTAAGTCAAGAGCTGGCAATTGAAACTGCCGCGTTTGGGAATTAGAAAAATCCAACGGTAACATGTTACCGAAGTTGCCAGTAAGAGTCCACCAAATCCTGAGAAAATGAAACTAAATTAATATCACTAAAGAGAAGGGCCTACGTCAGAAGAAGCAAGGCTGCAATATGGAGGTAGCAGAGAACCCTTACAACAAACCGAGACCTATGTGTATTTGGAACTAAAGAGGAAGGAAAAAAGGCATCTAAGACCGAACAATTTTAAACATTAGTTAAACGAAACGAAGACAGCCAAGTCGTATTAGGCAAAACCAAAAGCAATATATCAAGAGCATGTAAATACTTGATTAAAAAGCTTCTCTGTCCGGCTCGATGAATGGATGAATGTGTACAGTAGGATTTTTACTGCTCTATATGTAGAATCAATTCTACCTCTTTTTCCACAATGTAAACTAAGTTCCAAAAACAACAGAAAATGCATAAATAAGAGATTTAGTGATAACTTGTAAAGCGAATTTCAACTTACTGGCTTTCAGACATGATTTCGTCCTGTGATCTAACTTGTACAGGAGCAATTTCTTCGACATCTTCACCAAGATCTTTAAAACAATGTGAAATTTTCTGATCAAATGTACCAACTAGATCTTCTAAGCTACCCGAGAGATTTCCTAACTCGAATCCTTCTTCAACATTATTTTCTTGGTCACTAACACTGAAAAGAATCAAAATCATGTTTAATATCTAACAATTGTAGATTCTACAGTATATATGAATTGAATTATCAATAAAAAAAATAATCAAGCCAATGTGGTTGCCCGTAGTCACAGCCAACAGCCTGTAAAAAAACTTCCAAACTTCTACAAATCTGTCCCAGCAATCTTCTTCTCCCGTTTTTAAAAAAAAAACAACACAAAATATTTTCAAATAACATAGTCAAGTGATGCTGACCGACACATACGATCAAAAAAGTAATTATCTAAAAAAAGTTTTTCTAATTTTATAATTTATAAATCCTGTTTACTGCTCCCTCATTTCATCTTGTGTTTCAAATCACAAACTTCTTTTGTATAGCACATAGGATTTTAAACCCTACTGGTCAACAGTCCATCAACGCTACGCAAATGAGCTTTTGCGCGTTAAATAAATGCAAATTGAAATAGCACTGCAGATGCTGTATCAGCTTTCAAATATTCAATCATTCCTTTCCCTGTCCTTCCGTTTTGTTTTGTTTTTTTTATTTCTCCAAATTAGGCTAAAACTAAAGGCTTCAGTCTTTTCAATCTGGATGGAACACGGTGACACATTGTACTTGATGGAAAATACCAACTAATAAAATTTAATCTCCAAAAAATATCCATGTCAGGATCGTTTACTGCGTGAAGTGTTCAGCAAATGATAAATGAAGGATTTTTTTCCAAGATTAGGTATGAAAAAACTACCATCGTTGCTAAAAGTATATGAAAAGAAGCTTCTAAATTCATGGTACATTGTGACATATGCATTTTCATATCAAAAACTGAAGATAGTTAGATAATTACACCTCCATCTGTTTTAAGTACGAACAAGTCTTCACGTAAGGGTTATTGTTCATTTAGTGCTATAGCCTACATTGCAGTGCGTGCGCAAGTCAAATTTTTGTGCCTTAAAATCCTGATGGTTTAATCTATAAACAAATAGCCGGAACTTCGACAACGACGGCAAAAAGATGCCTAATAAGGATAGAAAAAAAAAAAGTGAAGGAGGGGGTAAAAACAAGATAACTTTTGGAAACTGCTCTGCGTCCCACTGACCAACTCCACTTATGGTTTCTGATGAATTTTTGATCACCACAATAAACCATACACTTCTATGAATTTTGATCAAACAGTCACTTAATTCAATAGACACCATCTGTACTACCAAAATATGTCTAGGCAAATCAAAGTCATTTTCAAAAATCCTTTTTGAAGACGAACAGTATTACCAAAATGCAAACTCAGTACCACTTAAAGAATTCTAAAAAAGATAAATCAAAATCTATTAAAGATGATCAAAACTGACTTTTCAAAACTAAAATTGCTTGAAAAGAAAACTGTAAGTGAACCAATATAAAAGTACTTCAACTACATCTAGTAATTTTTCTCTTCAGTTCAATTTATTATTTTACTTTTTTTTTTTTTGTTTTTGCTAGTTTTTCCTTCTAATTAATTTTACTGTCGAACGATTTTTATTATTTTCTTCTCTTCTACAGCACATCATTTAGTTCAGTATGAATATGTCAGCTGACTAAAAAAAGTCAAAATCAGTTTCAGTTCAAAAATTTCAAAGAAAAAAAAACTGTTTCAAAGAAGACGAATTCTTTTCTGTCTTTCTTCCTTCGTCTTTCTATTCCACTAAAATACAAGCATACAAAATACACGTGCGATTCACACACTATGAAGTGCACAGATCTAAAAAGATTTCCCAACAGCTGGAAGATTCTCCAAAATAATAAAAAACTACAATTTTCGAGTCAATAACTATCTAAAGCTAAAAACAAAAATACTGTAAATTTTTGCTCGTCAAGAAAGCTCACTCGACTATCTAAGTTTAAGTTACATTATCGTGAAATCGACAGCGAATTTCATTCAAAACGTTTGTGAATCAAGATTAGAATTTTTAGACGATATGTCGGCAGTAACATATTAACAGCATCTTTCAAACTAATTTTTTTCTTGCTTATTTTTAATCTTTAAAAGTTCAGCTTAAAAATAATATTTAATACTATTTTTTCTTCTTCTCTACAATAAATGTCCAGTTGAAACAAATAACTGATTGCAATGACGGTATAAGAAAGCTAAAAGAGCTTTTTGTAACCTGGAATTATTATCATTGTTTGTCATTTCATGTAGACAAAAATACCGACAGCGGCAGCAGCAGCAGCTAAAACGGCTAAAGTTTGCAGTGCAAATTCAACGGGGTGCTTGTCCTTGCAGATCGATGAGGCGGAAGGATAGATTGGATGCACTGAAAGCAATGGGGTGGTCGACAGCAAGCAGCAGCCATGGACACTGCCAAGTAACATACGCATAGATCAAAGCCTCATCTTCCTCATTCGTTTTGCTTGTTTTTCTATCAGCCAAAAATGTTTCAAATGAAAAAAAAAAGCCAAAAAGGAAACAGTGTTTACTTGGCCATTTTCAAACAATATACATCAACCCTATTTAAAAGAAATAAAAAAATGCTAAAAACTGCATATCCCATCCGCATAAAAACTATCAGACACTGCATCTATTTGACACTAAGCATGTTCGCTCCCAAGCCAAAGAAAAAAATTTCTTCCCCGCAATTGCGCAATCGCGAAGTGGGGGCGATGGGGTCCTGCGATTAAAAAGGAAGTTTACAGGAAAACGGAAAGTGAATTTTTCATATTCTTTATTTTTTTCTAATCCACAGCTCCAAAATACCCAGTCAAAGCAAAGCTGGTACAAAAAACTTCACATAACAGACCCATATTAACAAGTATGGCTTTATTTTGAATGCTTAAATTTTCCACCAATAACCCCTCAAACAGAACACGCAGTACGACCAGGAGGATAAAAAGTGAAGCAAAATTACAGCAGCATAAATGAGAAAAAAAAATCGTAATAAGTGGTTTTATTCAACAGCTCAAAAATGAATGTTAAAATATGTCAAAAAATTTCTTTTATGTTAACTTGCCACCGTTTCAAAATCGTGATGATATTTTTTAAAATATGACACTGAGAATTATATCTATCCTTGATAAGCTGCTTCTCGTGACCTCTCTCCTTGTGCCTAGATTAAACAGGGGCTGAGTCAGGACGGGGAAGGAAGGGGTAGGGTAGGAAGTCATAACCAAAGCTGGGAGAAAAGACGAAGTATGCCAGTCCTGACGGAAAGCACATGGTAATCATCGTATCAAATATATAAGTAAATATAAATCCATATAAACATATATATATCCACTAATTTATTGAGCTATTTGATCATTTATAAAACCATCCTCATCTGTCTTCTTGTTAACAAAATCTAATCTATTTTTTCTCCCTCTCTTTCACTTATCTTTTCTCCTTTTCAAACTACTGAAATGGTCTCCTCTGTAGGAAAATACTGGTTGTTTTCTGGAGAAACCAGATGAGAGAGAAAGAAGTAAAAAACAGCTCAATATTTTAACAGTGCTCAGTTGTTGCCTTCTTATCAAACGCATTACGCGGCCAGGATATAGGTACCAAAAGTGATAATTAGTTAGCTGGCAATAACGCCATATCAATGTAAATAATTATGGCGTATCTGTAACCCTTAACAACAAGTATCTTGACTTCAAATCTAGCTAAAGAGGAAAAAATTTTAGTTAATACAATGTCGATTTGTTCATCAAAAAGTTTACTTTTGTTCTGAAAAAGATTCTTCCCGCAAATTCTTCAAAAACTTTCGCTTTCCTTCCATCCCGTTAGCCTTATCAAAGTTATTTCAAGAACCTTAGTTGGTTACAAAAAAAAAAAAAAAAAAAAAAAAAAAAAAAAA